CCTCTATTTGTTTGTTACTGTGGCCTGTTCGTCGTCTCGCGCGGGATGGCACCACAGAAAAGCTTACATGGGTGCCGGGGTGCGTGTCGGCTAGAAGAGGGGTTGGTTAGCGAGACGGGGAAAATGACCAAGGGCATCGAGTCTCCGAGGGTGCCGTACCAAAGTCCATGGCCCAAATTCCGGTGCCTGTCCCGGCATCCAGTACTCGTTTTAACGGCGCGCCTTCCTTCCCGGCAGGGCAGATATGTAGTGCGCCGTCGAGGGTCAAGTAGAAGATGTGATGTTGCATATCTAGGGGGTGTCAGCATTGAAGTCAAGAGATAAGACAGGGCAAATCATTCATCTTACCTAACCGGTCGCTTTCTTGCTATCAGAGGAAACACGATCAGTATCACGGATGTCAGTTTGATTGCGTTCATGTCATCCTTACTTCATCACTAGGCAAGATGTATCCTAGTAATGATCAGTCAAGTGCGGTCATTTTCTCGCAGCAAGTCCACCCACCCCTTTCTGGTTTCCAGCCGTGGTACGAGCGTCCATTCTCATGCCTGAATCTCATGACGCTCGATGCGAGCGAGGTGGAGGAGCTTGCCAGGGACTGGACAGCGGTCAGCTACAATACGCTGGCCCAAACCGCAAGCCACAACCGGACTGACCCCGTAAGTAGAATCGTCATCCTGCGCATCTGGATTCTGAGACGTTGACGGACAGATGTTAGCAGAGTGGAGTTCCGCAAGCCACGGCTCGGACAAAACCCACGTCGTCGGCAACCAGGGGCTCATCGTTGTCGGGACCCGGGTCCGTGGGGACGGGCGGCGGAGATGTGGGGTGCGCGGGTGACGACATTTGGGCGCACTTAATTGGTGTTGACTTGAGTTGTTGGTTTGTTGCTTCTTAATTGTTGGGACAAATCGAGTCGGTGGCGTTGCTGAGGGATCCGCCGGTTTTGTGCAAAGTATTCTGTAGTTACCGTGCAAATATTCGTATTACGTATTCTAGGTATCTCTGGTGCCGGGTTGGCTGACGTGTTCGTTTCGTTTCGTGGGTTCGGGGAAAGAGCGCAATGAAGGTTAGCGAAAAGCAGTCGTTGGGAATTCTGCGCAGAGTGGATTTTCAAGTTTTATAGCGAACAGGGCGACGGCACCAGGTCCGGCACCGAGGGGGAAAGTGGTTCAAGTGCAGGCGAGTGCAGGCAAGTGTGCATGCAGCCAGGGAGTCGGGTCAGCCAATTGACGCCAATCGACAAAAAGTCCAGGGGTTCCTCGGTCTCTCGGGTATGCCCAGATTGATGACCGGATTCCCGCCATGTAACGGCAGGTGCCAGGCGATGGCGCCATGACTCCCTGGTGGTGTCTTCGCCCACTGAGCTCCCAAGGTTCCCCCACTTAAGGCCAAAGAAAGTCCCCAAAGACAGGCTTCCGGGATACCCGCAGATTGGTCCTTTGGGGGAAGAGCCCCAGGATGACCAAGTTGGGCATAGCTTTGCATGGGTCCCACGAGGGCCGGCATGTGCCCCCAGTTCGACCCAGGCTTTGATTTTTCCCATTGTTCGGGCCGGCTTGGCCAACCTGACAAATGACAAAACTTCATTCAAATCACAGGCAGGTTTCGAACCATCATCACAATAAGCTCTTGTTACTTGTCGGACCACCGCCCCACCTCCCGCCACGATGCTCTTGCTGCCCACATGTGCAACAGACTTACAACCCGGAAAGAACACCAACCCCACGATGCGATGATATGCGTCGGCATTGGTCTCAAAATTCGCCATCAATTCCGACTGGACGGGACGGGCTGCAGTGGCACGGGCCTCGAGTTCATGCAGCTCCTGTGTATGCAAGTTCGGCCGGACTCGATGAAACCTCAGGCATCTTCGATTGTCTGTCACTCGTGATACTGCGCCTTGCTAACCCTAATCCAAAACGAAAGAGAAAAAAAGAAGAAAAAGGAAAGAAAAAGAAAAAAGCGATTGAATATCTAGGAAAGATCCGGGTTACTTTCGTCCATGTTGTAGAACTCGGCCCACTCGAGACTGGAGAGGTGTCCTGCTGCTCAAGTTGACACAGACCCTTTTGCTCGCTCCCGACTCTATCAACAGTTTCGCCGCTTGCACCTGGCCCTGCGCGATGACCTCGAGAAGAGCAGTAGCACCCCATTCGGGATAGGCCAGGTCTACCCCGAACTGGGTCAAGACTCGCACCGTGTCTACACCCCCGCTCACGGCAGCTTGGAAGAGACGGCGCTCCATATCTGACAGCTTTGACGCCGCAAGTTCAGAAAGAAGTTCATCGGCGGTTTCCCAGGACCGCCCCAACAACAGGCTAGCTGCTCCTTTGTGGCCATTCTGCAGCGCAACAGCTAGCGGGGTTCGCCCTGCGTTGTCCACCATTTGTTCGGGAAGCGGGCGCAAAAGAACTTTGTTCATAGCTTCATCACCTACCGCCGCAACTCGATGTAGGGTAGCTTGCCCGTTGTTGTCAGGGCTATCTCGAACGAAACATGTTCTAGGGCATGCAACGGCCAGACTCGTCTTGTCCTGGTATCCACCGGCTCGAGGTAAACGCCTTCGTTGACTGAAGGTGGCACGAGAGCCCTTTCCACATTAGCAGATGGTTGCGGCAACTCCGAGTTATTTGCTGTTCGGGGCAGGTATCGTCGTTGCCGAGGAGTAACTGCACGACGGGCTCATGGTTGCCTTGGGTGGCCCATGACAGCCGAGTTAGGTCTGACTTGTCCGACAGTGTTCTGTTTGCACCGGCACCGAGCAACAACTCCACGACAGCCCCATGCCCGTTCTGTGCGGCCCACGACAACGGCGTCTGTTTATGGCCACCTCCGGGTCCCGGCCATGGTGACTAACCAGAGTGGACACAACATTCTGACCCCGAAGTATGCCGCCAAGTGGAGCCTCGTCATACGCGCTGGAATATCTCGAATACTCGCTCCGGTGGCCAGGAGTGCTTGACAGGAGGCTTCGGCCTTGACTTGGGATTGGAGAAACCCCAAAATCGATCGATCCTGACTCTCTGCCTCCCGGCCATGATGGCCCCAAAAGCTGGTGGCGTATTTGTATAGTTGATACGTCTGTAAGCTGCTGTTCAAACTCGGTATCTGTTGGGCCCTGGTGCTCTACCCTATTCATGTCGTCTTCGTAGGCGGCGCGGTACGCGCTCGAACCGCTGGGTAGGGTTTCAGTGCGGCTTTGATGTCTTTGGGCAATCTGCCATCCATGAGTGAATCCACCCCCAACCTTGCCAAAGAAAGGTATCGCAAGAACACCGGTCACCCAAAATGCAGGATGTCCCAGATTGGGTATTCAATTCAAGTGCTTACATCCCGCTGGCGGCTTTGGCGATCTCATCCCTGACCTCCTCTCGCATGTTTTTCAACAAGTACGGAGCTCCCTTGCGAGATCTGCGCGTCCACGAACTTGGCCACGTCCTCATCCCTAGCATGGATATCCAGCCAGGTGTCCAGGTCAAACTTCTCCGTAATTTCCGGGATGGACCTCGGGGCGGCAAGGACGCTTGCGCCGTGTTTCCGGGGTTCCAGCAGTCCCGTCAAGAATGCCGTCCGACAGCGACCTGCTGTTGGGCATTTGTCCAAAGCGTCGACGACAATAAATACCCTCGAGAGCTCGCTAATCACCGTGTCAAAGGCATCCGAGATTTCATACAGGGACGGACGCGTCCCCTTTGTCTGATGTTGATCAAAGAGTTTCCTCAGCTTGTCTGACATCCGAGGTTGGTTCTGAGTTAATTGTTTTAACAGGGATGCAAACAGACCCTCCACAGACTGCTCATTTTGCTGCCAAAGGTTGCAGTATATATACGCTATTTCAACGGATTGGTCCTGCAAAAAACGAGAGCCAAGACTGGTGATTATCACGGCCTCGAGGATCGTTTTTCCTGGCCCAGGCATTCCGCGGCAAAACACCGTTTGACCCTTCGTTTCCACGCAGTTCTGAAACTTGGCGTCGTTTAGGAGCCACTAGCCCGTACCCTCTTGATGCGTTTTGATGTGTCTGCCATGCAGAAGGCTATAGTTCATGATGTTAGCCAATTCAGAACTTTCTGATCTTTTTCATTTTGCATCATCGACTTGATCTCAATCGCGTTGGTATTGACCTCGGACAGAAGGGTACGAACTAATCCATCTATTAGAAACCATATATGATCTAAAACTGGGAAACAAAGACCTGAACTAACCCTGCCTGAGGATACCCTTGACTGTCGGCTCCTTTTCAACATCGGCCGGCGATACGTACATGTACTGCAGCAGCTCTTTCGCCAGCCCCGCCCATGGGGCCGAGCCTGTAGCTGTTGGGGTCGTTGGCGGGCCTGCGGATTGCGTTGGGGTGCACGGAGTCGAGCATGCGCGTGACCACGATGTTGTTGATGGCGAAGGGGAAGACCTAGGTACCTGATGGTGGAGTCTGTTGCGAGCTTACCTAGGTTAGGCGGTGCACATGGTGGGTGGTGAGATGGATGGTACATGTACCTACGCGAGGTTGATGGTTCACACTCCCAACTTGAATTTTGGAAATTGCTCAGGGATATTGGTTGTTATTAACCTCCTAGGAGGGCATATTCTCGGGGTTCTGCCTCTGACCGACACACACCCTCGGTACCCAATTCCGCCCTCCGTCCCTGCCGTTCATTCGTGGCCTTGCTGGGCTCTAATCCAGTGCTCAATCTCGTTGTTAAAGGCCGCAGCATTACCAGCTCGAATAGCTTCGAATCCTTGGTGCCCAAATCCTTCACCTGATGGGTACCACTGTACCGAGCCTCATTTGGGTCCAGGTTTGTCCGTACTTGAGTCTGCGTTTTGTCTCACTCTCACATCCATAAATCAGGGGGTAATGAGCGGAGTGTTTATTGGATGTCACGGATGTTGGGGTTGGGCATCACTCATTGGCGCGCCATTCTATGCAAGTTCGCCGTATGATGATGCTCCTCAACTGTGTGTCATCATGTATTCCAATGCAGTGAGTGACAGAAACGGAGCCTACGTCACGAGCGGGTAAGTCTTTGTTCGGCTGGTTCAGTCTCAGGGGTGTCGGGTTGAGGAGAGCAGGGCCAACCAGAGCAGATCGTGAAGCGAGAAAAGATGTGGGCTTGCGTGACTGCAAGTGGCGGTTGGGTTCCTCTCCGTTTCCCGCCCAACCGGGGAGCTTGTTTGGGAGTGAGATGGGGCAAGTCAAATGGGGGAACCGAGAGGTTTTCATGTCTTCAATAACATGAGCTGCACTTGAAGAGAGCCCCGGGGTTTAGATGGCCGCCATGTGAAGACGTATTAACGCTCTCTTCATTTCCACCCGTGACTTGACTCTAGTTCTAAAAGCCAGCGGCGCCAATGAGACAATAATCATGTACAAATTACATAGATACATATACACATCTCGCTTTATCCCTCTCTATCCGCCTTTATTAACACGCCCCTGTCCATCCAGTCCCTTAAAGCGCCACCATGGCACCAGCAACAGCCACCACGGCCGCAGCCGCGACGGCAAACCCAGTCTCCCGTGGGGCGGCACCGGTCGAGGTGCTGGTCGTCTCCCCGTCGGTCGAGTCGTCGGAGTTATCAGCGCCATCGCTGTCGTTGGTGGGCGCGCCAGTCTCGGCAGGCCCGGAGGAAGTGTTGCTCTCGGTGGGCGAGACGCTGGTGTTGCCGACGGTGCTAGCGTAAGCCATGGCGGCATCCATGTACGCGTCATAGAGTGACGTGCAGGTGTCGAAGTCGGTGGCGAGCACAAGCTCGAGGCCAGCGCTCAACGCGCCGCCACAGCTCTGGGCCAGGCTCGTGACGGTGGGCTTCACCTTGTTGGCCCAAGAGACAGACTCGCTCACGAAGGACGAGTAGGCTGACGCGATGGGGGCGGGGGCATCGACCGAGGTTTGGAAGGCGGCGGAACAGACTCCGCTGATGTATTTCGGGTCGTCGATGGAGAGGGTCTGGAGCTGTTCGGCCTGGCTCATCATCCACAGCGCCAAGCTGTCGCTGATGGCGAGTTCGGGCTGGTCCGACCAGATTTCATCGGCCTTGGACGAGCACTCCTTGCTCTCTCCCTGACGGCGGGCCAGCGCCAGGGCGGGCTTGACCAATCTCGCATCGGGGGCGGCGGTGATCTGGGCTGCGGGAGCCTCGAGGGGCTGGGCGAGGGCGAGAGACGCGCCGGCGAGGGCGGAGAGGATAGTGAGGGAGTGCATGATGATTATTTTGGTGGTTTGGTTGGAGGCTTGTATGTGGTATTTTGAATGGGTGAAGACACCAAGTCGTCGACAGAAAAGAGTTTGATATATGTGATGTGTGAGGTGGTCGACACATGAATTAACTCGGGGCGCGCCGACTTATTTATCCACTTCGAAAGGGGCTTGGGAAATTACCCAATATGGGGGCCAAGATCTTGTGATGCTGCCCTGTGAAGCTTAGGCGGCATCCTTCGGGCCAAACGATTGGATATCTGGTGTTGTCAGGTTTGGGCGGGTCTAGGCTCGGAAAAACGGCTCGATTAAGATTGATAGTTCAAGCATGTTAAGACAAAGCTAAGTATAGCTCCACAAGGCTCGGACTTGACCTTTCCACTGCTATTTCCCGAAACCGATCTTCCTACGAGGCAGCCTAGAGCAGAAATATCCACCGCCTTGCTTCTCTGCTTACTATTGCTTCTTGACCGCTGGAGGGATCATGGAAGGATCAGTATGCTTGTGGAGATCACATAGGTACCCGAGCCGCATTATCGGATCTTTTGATCCGTTTTCGTTGCCTGCCTACTCAACCGTTGGGACGGTCAACACCACACCGCCACCACTCAGCCCCTTGTTCTTGGTTTAGCACGACCACGCGATGGCGCAGACAGCAACGCCCGTGCAGAGCAGAAGGACAGCCCGATATGCCTGTCCACAGGCTTGCTCAGCAACCGGGCGCGTGTCCCGGCTGGGAGATGCTAGCATCACGCTGCGCATAGTTGAATGATTCTAGCACCCGTTGTCCCTCGCCCTCGAGTGATACTGCCGCATCAGCTCCAAGCCAACGACATAACGCATCAGCTCCAAGCCAACGACATAACGCACCAGCCCCAGCCACACAACCAACGCAGCCGCGAGCACTCGACAAAACGCCAACGAGATGACGGCCAACCCAACTGTCAAGTAGCACCCAGCTGGCGATAGAGGTACACAGACGCCATGACCACCACCTGGTCCTCCGGGCTCGTTACCGTCACAACCGCGACCGGTGCGGCCGTCTGGCATGATTTCACCATTCCCCAGCCTAGCCCCTTCCCTCCCACCCCGGTTCAACACTTGATTCGTGCTACCAGTTGGCGCTGTTTGGCGTGGCCGTCATGGTTATAATGGATGGTTAAGACGAGGTTGGTCATGGTGAATCCAGAATCGGCGGTTAGGTAACAGCTACCTACCTAGGTACGAAGTACTTCGTACCTTCCTGGGTTCGATCTTATTCAATTTTGTTCCATTGCAAACGATGTGGGGCTTTTAGCACCACCCACTGCACACTGGTAGGTCATCACGTGAACTCGCGTTGAGCACAACCTCGCTGTCTTCAACAAGCTTGCTCATCTTCACAGCTCTTCCCTTCCACTCGGTTTTCGACACGCGCCGACTGAGCAACCCTCAGTGCACCATCGACCATGGCTGTTCCCGATGAGCAGGCCGACTACTGGCCCAATTCTCCAAGCACATCATCATTCCCACCACCAGGATTGTCAATCAACAAACTCGCTGCTCTCTACCCTCGAGAACGACTGCTGGTGCATCCGCTGCGCTGGAGCGACCGACAAGTCGCCCTGCTCAATTGTCGTATACATTATCGCGGCGACCGAGATACAGCTAACCATGGGAACGCCAATACGAATACCGACCCACCGCCTCCAAAATCCCAGCTCGAGCTTTTTCTCGCCGATCGTCTCAAGTTCCGACTCACACATGAGGAGTTCATTGAAACTACCCAAAGGCTTCTCCCGCCGCTTGGCGGTCAAATCACGATTGGTGACCAGTACGTGTTCTACCATTAGTAGGGTAATTATTGGGACCGGTCTATACTGACACTGGTTGAATTTCCAAGGCGAATTGCTAGTCTCAACTTCAACCAACGCCCTTGCGCCGGTGTCGTGTACTCTGGCATTTCGGTCTCGTTCCAGAGCACCACTCGCAAGACTATCATGTTCCCATGCTTCAACCATGACGAGACTGCTGTGGAAAGAAGATGCTTCATCTCTCCTCCGAGTCATTCGCGTTACGGCATGAACCTCCCCGGAATATCCCGTCTGCACCGCCATTTAAACCATCATCGCCAGAAGGACCCTTTGAAAGACCCATTCTTGGTTGCTGTCCTCATTGCTTTCGCACAAGAAAAGCGGCGTCGTGCACCCAAACCAGAACCTCCCTCTTCTAGCTTCCGGGTGGGTCATTCATACCTCTCTCTTACTTATGTTTATGCCCCGCTCGTGATTTCCCATTCCACAGCGGGGATCCCAAGGATTTAAAACTGACCATGCTATGATTTCCCAGATTCGCTTTCTTTTTCCAGGTGGGGACCGGCCAAAGTCATTGAACATGTATATCGCCAATGTCCGAGCTGCGTTTCTTGATAAGTTGGACTTCCCAGGCAAGGAACCTGCCGCCAATTCGGGCCTCAACATCTATCATCGGCAGATTTCGACTTTGCCTTTACAAACCTTGCCACGCCGGCTGTGTCGGATGTTGGATCTTAGTTTTCATGGAGCCGATGCTTCTCGACGGAAGATGGAGGAAAAGAATCCCAAGGTGACCAAATTGAATAACACAGCCGAGTGCGATAAAAGGAAGGACTTATCAACATAGCCACCCTGGCCAATCAGGTAGGTAGATAAATAGGTATGTAGGTAGTCTCACCATCCTAAGGGCGAAAGAAATAGGACCGTGAAAAAAGAGAGAAAAAAGAAAGGAAAGAAGAAGAAGAAAAAAAAAGAGAAAAGAAGAGAAGACAAATCAGGTGATACGAAAAGTATCTGAAATAAGGGAACCGCAATTAAGAACAACGAAAAGAGGTGGAAAAGGCGAATGATTCTTGAAAGGAAGTGTCGCGATGGCTGCCGTGGAAGTAATTCCACTGCAGGCTGCACGCGATGCTTCCTTATCTAATCTAAATGCGGGGCACCCACGTGCCCACCCAGGGGGTCCAAACCCTAACCCTGGGCCCTCCATTTTACTGTATTACGGACTATCTCTAACTCTAATCACACAATGGGGATTCTTGTATCATCACGCAATCCTATTAACTAACTAAAAAGAAAACCAAAAGTCTACTTTTATTTCTTTGGCTTTATGTTTTCTTTTCCTCCCTCATTCTGTCGACTGACCAGCAGACGCTCGGGCACCCATAAAAATTCCTGTATAGGGGGCTGCGTCCGCGCGGCCAACAGCAGGTCAGAATGCCTTCGCAAGATGGGTAAGAGGTGGTTAAAGTTGCGGATGGACCGGGCGGTGCGAATCACGACGCGGGCGGCGAAGAGCTCGTCGGTTCCCCATTTGCTTCCGGTCTTTATTTCATTATCCTGTGTTGCATTGAGGTCTTTGATCGCTGAGCCACGCTTTGCCGCATAGGCACCAGCATCAGTGACCTCCTCGAAATATATTATTATTCATACTCCGCTATGCCCTAAGGCGTGCCGGACCCTCAGCTATTTAATGTACAGGAAAACCGTGCCCTCCCGGGCCGGGTGAAAAACCCATGCCAACAATCAAGGAACGATGCGTTCTGGTGAGTCTGCGTATACAAAGAGAGGAGGCCTCCTGGCCTCCGGACCGAGGCGTTTCAGGCCGCCGCTTCCAGCTCGAGCCTCCTGGCTAAGCTGTACATCGGCAGCTTCCCCGTGTCCATCAGCCGGTCGAGGATCCTCCTCTCAAGCCGTGCAGTCGTGGGATTGATACCGTGTAGAACAGAGTAAAAGTCCCGTCGTGTCCGAATTCCAGTCCTCTCCCATCTTCGAGCCAACGGTGGGGCCAAACACCACACTACTAGGTGTTCGGCAGTCTCTCGTCCCTCGCCACACTCGCAGGCAGGCGTTAGAACCTCCGGGACTCCCCGTGTGAACAAGAAGTCCCCTAGGCCTATTGCTCCCGTCCGGATTTGAATCAGCAGTGAGCTCTTCGCCTTGTTGAGACCGTCGTGCCTTCTTAGGGTTTCGTTCCGAAATAGCGTCTCCCGCTGATGGTCAAAGTCGTCCGCCGGCCTGGTAATTGCTCTGCCGTCCCGTTCCTTTAACCACCTCGCTCTCCAGGCCTCTTCTGCTACCCTGTCCGTATCAACGATTCCCCCCGTCCAGCGCATGACCGTGCCCGCGGCTCTCTCCACCGCCGTAGTCCCTTGGGGTCCCAAGGTTCGCGGTCGGCCCCTGTTGCCCCTCCTCGAGCTGAGTCCTCGAAATAATTCATGTTGCTTTCGTAAAGTGGTGTTGGTTGGCAATGAAAGTGTCTGGTTACGGCGGTACAAACAGCGAAGGTCGAGGTTTGTAAATGATAATACAGGTAGGTAACTAGACTAAGTTTGTAACTCAGGCCGGTTTGGCAAGTTAAATAACCCTGGGATTTCCACCTCTTGCATACCCGCCTGCATCTGCATAGCAGGTGCTTGCACATGATCGCATACAGAGCACTTCCATGACAGAGAACTGTACAGGTGTGCCACTTTCCTGTTTGTGAATCCGCGGTTTGAGCCTTGGGGCCAGGTATGTAATGGTAGTGCGGTGGCAAAGCCTGTTTGACTGCGCTGGCCATCACAGAAGGCGTGAGCAGACTGGAAATGGGATTGGTCGGGCATCAGGAAAGGCTGCACACATTCAGGTGTGTAGGTAGGTATGTAGGTACCTATGTACAGTGCCCGAAAACACCTTTCTCCTCAATGACAACCCAACACAGAAGAAACACAACCAAGGTTACCATGTGACTATTGTTCAAGGTTATCATTTGGCTGAGAGATACTACGTACATAGGTACTTGACGTATCCGGGCTGTAAATTGTCGACTGATCAAGAGGTAACTGGGGCCAAAGTAAATCATTTCAGCGGGTTGGAACATCTCCGTTGACGGTGTCAAGACGGAAAGCAGTTGAGGCGCTACAAAGAGCCTAGGGGATATGAGAAGACGGCCGCGCTACAATGCTAGCTTGAAGCAAAACCCAGTTCTCCCTCAGAAACGAGGGCAGACCACGTTTGGCAGTATTGTAGCAAAAACACAGAAAATTTGGAACCGTCCGTTGAACTACATCCCGCCTCATCAGTCACATTCCCGAACTTTCACATCCTATCTTAATGTCTGTCGCATCCCTATTAGGTACTCTCTGCATTCCCAGATTCGAGATAGTCAGATATACCCCTCCAATTACATCTGCAAAAAACTCACATGAAGATTGTGGTAGTGACTGCCAGAGCCGTATCACAACACTTGAAGTTAGGTACCTTAAACATAGCCCCAAAAGCCGGGAACATCTCGGATCCAACTAGGGTAAGGGCATTTCTAAATTGATCTACCTAGGTTATTAGTTTTGGGGGAAAAGGGTTGATAGCGAATCACATAGCTCTCGAGAACACCCACCATGTTGCATCCGACACGGATCCCCCCCGTCTTGCCCAGCGTGGGCGTGCAACCAAACTTTAATCCTACCAAACTTGCTACCCCTCCTCCCTCTTCAGCTACCGTCACGACAATGATAGAGAAAATGAGCCATCTCCACGAGCTTTTGGGCTCTCTCCAGGCCTTCGTCGCTACCCCAGGCACAGCCATCTTCGCAGCGACAGCCATATGCTCTCTCATTGCAGCCATACACGTGTTCCGCGCCTGGTGGCGGCTCCGTCATATCCCCGGCCCATTCCTCAATTCAATCACCCCTCTCGTTATGACATACCACTGCTTCAAAGAGGACGTCACCACCTACACATACAATCTCACGCGAAAGTATGGCCCTCTCGTTCGTGTCCAGCCCAACGTCGTTGTATATAACGATCCCGAGACGTTTCGTCGCATCTGCTCGGTCAAGGCAGATTACACCAAGGGCCTCTGGTTCGAGTTCTCGCGCTGGAATCTCGAGCGGTATTCTTGCATCGCCATGCGAGATAATGAGAGCCGCAAAGAACGCAAGACGAAGCTTTTGCCTGCTGCAAGTGGCCCAACCCCTTTATCCTGTGGTTCTCCGCTTCTAACAATGCAACAAAATCAGTGGGCTGGTCAGGGTTTATCCGTTATGGAAGGCCGCGTTGACAACCAGGTCCGATCGTTTCCTTGACTTGGTTGAGAGGAAGTACATCTCGTCGCCGGGCAATCCCCGGCCGATGGAATTCGGTCATCGCGCGCAGTTCTACACGCTTGACGTCGCGACGAGCGCTACCTTTGGTAAGCCGTTTGGCTTCCTCAAAAAGGATGGGGATGTCGAGAAGTACCTGGAGATTACCGAATCCATGACCCCCATGTTTGGTATCCTCGGCACGTTGCCCTGGCTTGTCTACGTCATGCACGCCTGGCCGCTGAACCGGATGATGCCCGGGGAGGGCGACAAGGTGGGCTTCGGGCGGATGATGAAGTGAGTTGTCTGGTGCCCGTGGATGTGTGGTGTATTGTTCCCACTGACTGCGCGCGGTAGATTTGCCAGTGATCAGGTTCACCAACGGCTTGAGCCGGGCGACGCGAATTCGGAGCATGATTTGATCCGAGGATATTTGCGAAATGGAGTCGAACCGGAGGACGTCGTTCAAGAATGCATCACGCTTATGTGGGTTGGACCCCATCCGGAAGGAAACACGATGCCGTCAAGTGCTGGACTGACAGGTCCATAGCGTCGCAGGTTCCGAAACCACATCCGTCGCCCTCCGCATGGCTCTTCTCTCCATTCTCACCACCCCTTCGGCATACCGCAAACTGCAAGCCGAGATCGACAACTTTCATGCCGACAAAGCTGCCGAAGCAGACGACAAAAGCGTCATCACCTACGCCGATGCCAGAACCTTGCCTTACCTCCAGGCCGTCATCCGCGAAGCCCTCCGTCTCTGGCCCCCGTCGGCCGGACTCTTCACCAAAGAGGTCCCCAAAGCGGGTGATAGCATCCATGGATACTACCTCCCACCAGGAACCGAAGTCGGCCAGTGTCTTTCCAGCGTTGGCAAGCTGCCGCGCATCTGGGGCGCCGACGCTGACCTCTTCTATCCCGAGCGCTGGCTGGAGGCGACCCCTGAGAAGTTTGAGGAGATGCAGGCCGCCGTGGATCTGGTGTTCAGTTCGGGGAAATATGTTTGTCTCGGAAAACACATTGCGTGGATGGAATTGCTCAAGTTTTTCGCTGAGGTAATTGGGTCCCTAGCTTGGTGAGAAACTCTCATGTTGTCCTTTCGATGCTGACCGTGGAATATAGGTGTTTCGGCGATACGATGTTGCTATCGTCAACAATGTTCAACCCCTGAAGCTCAGGGACCCCATCACCTGGCTCACGACCGACTTTTGGATTCGATTCACGCGGCGCGAATGAAGCGCAAAGAAGAAAGAACTGACACAGCTGGCAGAGAGTTACTCGACTGAGAACTTGCAGGTCGTTTTTTGGAGGTAAAAATGTACTGTTTCTCGAACTACACAGTAAAGATATTATCTTGGACTATACAAGGTTTAAGATATAAATGAAAGTTCCTGGACTTATGTGAGAGCCTACCAGACGCCTTCCTCACCGCTAAGAGCGTACCAAGCCTATTTCGGCGCCTATGCACCTCGGTAGTGACCTGAGTTTGTGACAGACTCGGTGTGCCTGGAGGAAGCAAACCTGCATTTCAATCCTTGTTCTTGGCAGAGGAACCAACCAGCCCCCTCGCCAATGGCATGTCGGTTTGGATGGAGCGTATCATGTGTGCAGGTCAGGGAGGGAGGCGGAAGTGTGGTCGCGTCAAATCGCGCCGAACTTTCAAGGATTCCCGGGACTTGCACGCCACCGGGTCGGTGGATGCTACCTTAGGAACCCCGGAAAGATAACCCAGCAGCAGTGCGTCTCCTTGCCATTTTGAGCTTTATATGCGCCGGCTATACTGGTTAGAGCTGATGACAAGCTCTTTTGTTGGGTATTATCCGCGCCACTAGCAACTGAGCTTGCGCACAGTCAGCCGTCTATCGATGCGGGGGATGCCACCAAACCCCAGATTGCTGCATTAATGCTGCGTTGCAGAACCGGGCGAGCCGGGTCAAATGCCGGATGGCAGATTGGTTGAGATTTGTGCAAGCCTGTAAGGGTACCTGGGCTCCTGGGGTACCAAGGAACATCCACAGAACCCCACTGTCGAGGAGCATAAAGACACCAAGCTGGTTTCCGTCATGGATGTTGGTGGCCAACTTGGAGGTTCTCCTCATTCCTGAAGACAGCCATTTTGGACACCGCAGCCATGCGGTTTTATATTCTTGCCTGTTCTTTCCTGCTCGCCCCCTTGACAGGGGCCCGAGATCCGGGCAAAGAGCGACCCGACCATGGTCTCACCGTCAAAACCACAAGCGGCACTTACACGGGTTTCGTCAACGCCACGGGACTCCGCGATGTGAACCAATGGCTTGGCATCCCATACGGCCGCCCCCCGCTCGGGGATCTGCGCTTCATGCCTCCCAAGAGAGCGCCCGACTACGGTCGCGCTGACGCAAAAGCCTACAAGCCCATCTGTTTCCAGACTGGCAACAGGACCGGCGCGTTCTGGGAGCTGATGCCCGAGTTCCAGAACACGGACCCCCAGAGCGAGGATTGTTTGTATCTCAACATCTGGGGCCCGCGGAAGCCCGTTGAGAAGAAGGTGCCCGTCATCATTTGGGTGTGCGGAGGCGGGTTTAGGGAGGGCGGCGGCCATGCGCCCTACCAGGTCCCTGACCAGTGGATTCAGAGGACGCAGACGCATATTGTTGTCACCTTCAAGTACAGGGCCCCAAACCATGGCTTGCATGAAATGAATACTCATGCTGATTGATCTTTTGTTAGTTATCGTCTCGGCATCTTCGGCTTCCCCAACTCGCCGATCGCCAACAAAAACGCCGGGCTGCTGGATATCCGGCTCGTGTACGTGTTCACCTCCTGGTATTGCATACTGCTTTCTGCAAAACTGACGTCTAAACAGCGTGGAATGGCTCAAGGATAACATCGCAGGATTTGGGTGAGTGAACTCAGGGATCCGGTCCTGTTCCACAACATGTCAATTCCGTCTTTACTGATACACTTCTCCCGGCAACCAGCGGCGACCCAAACCGCATGGTCCTCTACGGCCAGTCCGCCGGTTCCACGGCCGTTCTATCCCAGGCCTACGCATACCCCGAGAAGCCCATCGTCCGCGGCTTCATTGCCTCGTCGGCCGGTATCGGGGCCACCAACCCGACAAACACCACGCTCTTTCACGACCTGGCGCAGAAGGCTGGATGTGCCAACCTCACCGAGGCCGCCGAACTCAAGTGCATGCAAAAGGTTGATGCGCCGGCGCTGCAGAAGAAGGTCAACGAAGCCAACACCGATCCTAACCGAGGGGCTTTCCGCCCCATTGCTGATGGCGTTAGTCTCTTTGCGAACCTGACGGAGAGGCTCGAAAAGGGGTTGGTCGCGAAGCAGGTACGTTTTTAGGTTCTTGTCTACTGTGGAGTGCAGCGACCTCTGCACGTGCGATTGCAAAACGCATTGCAAGGCTAACTCAGAACCGTGGCTGCAGCCACTGATCACCGGGTTTACGTACAACGAGGCGGCGGCGTTCTTGCCCTTCAACATCAACGCCACAACACCGCCAGAAGGAGCTGGTGCGCCGGGAGCCGGCGGGCTGGCATGTGGCTCCAGGCGCGAGATGGAGTGAGTGTGTCCCTCCTTCAAGCATTGGAGTACGTCACTGATCTGTTCCGTGCAGTGCCCGCGCCGCGTATGGGTTGCCGACGTACGTTTACCTTTCCTCGGGCAACTTCAGCAACATTACGCCTCGGTACTGGCTTGGGGGCATGCATAGTTGTAAGTACCTCCTTCTCTCCATTTCGGAGATCCTTTCCCATGGCAAAGACATGGCCCAATGACGACGGCGCTGACCAAACCGCAGCCGACATCCCCCTCGTCTTCGGCACGCACTACCAGTTCCGCGGCAACTCGACCGAGCTCGAATGGCAGACGAGCTTCGCAATGGAAGGTAAGTGCTTGTCCGCACCACTGATTCTGTGTCGAATTACTGCCCAAAACGGACGCTGATTATTTTCCCCAAACAGCGGCTTGGGTCTCCCTGGCCGCGAACCCCTCGGCCGATCCCCAGGACCATCTCGGCCAGAAGTGGCCCAAGTACACGGAAGCCAGCCGTCAAGTTGTCGTGTTTGGTAACGCCACGGGTCCCAGTGCGGCCTATGTGGCGCCCGCCGAGATCTTGGACAATTACAGCGGTCCCTGTTAACGAGGAGGGAAGTTTCACATAACATTGGGTGGCTTTCTGCCAGCTCGGCGGCTCGCGGGCATTATTGGGCGATTGGGTCTAGGTCTTCTTGGATTCTGTCCAGATATGAAAGTTTCGGGACCGGGAGTTTCGGTTCAATGTTCATATCGGGTCAAACCCTTCAGCCCTCGGCGGCAACATCCGGGGGCTGCCGAGCGCCTTGCCGAGTTGGCTGGTGGCGTAGGCTAGGTGAAAGGCAAGAATCCCAATCGGGCGTCACCGTTTCAATTCGCCCAGAAGTAATCTCAAACCCCAGTCACCGACTCACTAGGGGATCATCCCGGTGTGGTGGCGCGTCAGGTGTCTTGTGTCGACAGTTGAAACCAATGCGCGGGTTAACTATCGAATGTCATGTTATGCCCCGTTCATGGAGAGCAGTGATGGCGATTGTTCTCAGTCCCTGGTCTATAGTGGGCGTTCCTGGGCGCTATATTGCGCTCAGGGGCTGATTTCCCGACTGGGCGGGTGGCCTGTCTGACCCACACCACAGTTTCCGACATCTTGCTTATGATGGCATGGCCCCGAGACCTGTCGATTGGATTCTCGGTCTTCAATAGCTACCTAAGCAGCGTCTTCACTTCAAAGCAAGAGGTAAACATCCGCATGGATGGCCACCGGGCGAGCTTTTCCGTATCGACTTCAACCCTCAGACCTCCCCTCCCTTTTACGCAGGCTGAGGTGATTTTACGGACAAAGAAGAGTACTTCGACCGCCATCTTCGGCCCCAGTTAACCATGTCAACCCCCCGTCCCACCATGACGCCAGACCCAAACCGCCGGAACGAGTCCAGGGGCTACCAGCTCACCACGGTTGCCATCGTGTGCCCGATCCTTCCCGTCATCCTGAGAATGCTGCGCATCTACACGCGGCTCATCCTGATCAAGAAGCGCTTCTGGGAAGATTTGAGCATTGTCATTGCCTTGGTACGGAAGTCCTTCCCCGCGCGATCTTCTTACTTGCACTCTCTGTTACTTCTTTGGCTTAGAGGCGGAGGGTGCTTAACAGGGGTTGACAATCGTTGCAGGTGTGCACCGTGCTCCTATCAGTTACCAACCACATGGGTGCGTACCTGGGAAAGAGGCACAACTTGCAGTTGTCGGCATTGCTACCCAGTCAATGGAACACAGCTAACTGACGGCCAGCCGTTGTATATGGCAGCGGGAAACATATCGAAACCATCCCTCCTGCTAATATGGTCGCGTTTGCCAAAGTACACCAGCAATCCCCCATGCCAAAGCCGGACAGTGCTAAAGCAACAACAGGTTGGCATTGCCCTCACCCAACTCTATTCCCTTACCCACTTCTTCGTCAAGTTGTCCGTCTTGCTTCAATACGCCCGCGTCAGCGTCCTGCCCTCGGATAAACGACTGTGTCGCATCTCGATAGCTGTCTTGTGCACGGGATACCTGATCTTCATCGTTCTGCGCATGGTCCGCTGTATCCCTTTCCATGCCCTATGGACACACGGGGTCCCCGGAGCGCGGTGCATCTACAACAACACCTGGTTCATGTTCGCCTCGCAGGGCTGGAACATGATCATGGACTTTGTGATTCTGCTCGGCCCGCTCTATATCCTTCGACACTCCAACGCGCCGCTCAAACAACGTGTCCTGCTCGGAGTGCTGTTGGCCTTTGGCGGATCGTATGTTACCCCCAGTCCAGCGCATCCGCCCCAGCACATACCCGTGCCACAGTGTCCACCTCCCAGTCACTGACGTTTACAACTTTTGTGTTTCCAGAGCCTGCATCATCTCCGCCATACGCCTCCACACGCTTTACCCCTCGGGAACCTCGCTCGACCCGACCTGGGACAAGATCCCCAGCGCCATCTACGGCCTGGTCGAGGTCAACGTCGGCATCAGCTGTGCGTCGGTCGTCACGCTGCGGCCGCTTGTTCGTCGTTTGCGGGGCGTCTTGTCGGACGAGGCAGACACTTCCGAGCGGACGATAATCACGAGGCCCCAGACTCTGGTCGGCTGCCGTCAGTTCAATGGGAACCGTGCGTTGGCGGTAGCGGAGAGGAGTACGGCGCAGGCTGGGAGTGAGGAGCAGAGAACTAAGGGGTGCATGAAGTACTAGACGGGTAGAAATAGCAGTAGTTAGCTGTATCAAGGTAGGCAGGTACCTAGGTAGCTACATTCTGATGCTACCCAAGGTGCAGGAAGGCCACTGGCCACTTGACGCCAAACTGATACCTGCCTACCTAGGTAACTGGTCCTGTTCCATGACACTTCAATTATCATCTTCGGCAGCGGGACGTCGGCGCCAACCAACAGGATTACCCACGCAGTAAACTTGCCGTGCTACATCGCAGACTACGACTACTTCAATCTCGGCTGGTAATGCAATCCTCCTCCTCCCACGTCCACCCTATTTACCTCCCTCCACATTCCATATCTCCTCCACATCCACAACCGCATCTCTCTCTCTCGAGCACGCTCCCACCCCAAAACAAACAAACATAACCTCACCCCCACCCCCGCCCCCGGCACCAAACCACCCCCAAATCACCCACAGCCAAGCCATATCACATCCACCCCCCACCCCCCTAGACAGACGCACACGCACACACCAACCCAAAATTACCTCAATCTCAACTAATAACTTACCCCACCGGTGGACAAATGGACAAACCCCTCCCCAACCGCCCACACCTCCTACTTCCACCCTTGACTTGACTGCTACGAATTCCCTGCCCGCCAGCGCTGTGACCCCCGCAGCCGGCACACGCGAGCCCCTTGCCCAAACATTGCAGTACCGTACTGGCGGCGGGGAGGCCGGGGGATGGGGGAGGGGGATGCGGAGAGGAGATAATGTGATGGTGGTGGTGGTGGTGGTCGTCGTCGTCGTCGTCGTCGCCCTGCGAGGGATGCTGGTGTGTTGTTGGTGCCGTTCCCTCCGGTCGTGTCGTTATCGGGGGGTGTGATATGGGGTTTGGTTGGTGGATGCTGGGGATGGGATGTATGGGTTGATTTGATGGTGGTGGGGTGCAAGTTGAAGAGGTGAGAGAAGGGGGACTAAGGAGAGTTTGAAGGGATGCAGGTGCGAAGGGAACGGGTTGGGGGCGTTCAGAACGGTGATACGCACATTGTAGAAGCTGTCAGAGAGCAATGGCAAGGCGGGTCTATCCGGTTTCTTATAAAACGGAGACCTAGCTGGCAACTTCTCAGCTTGCATGACAAAGGTCGTGGCTTTTAGCTTTCATATTTGGCTTTTGATCGGAGATTCCAGACCATTCCCTGCTCTGCTACTTCCTCTAACGGCATTGCCAACATGGATACAGCTCTCTAGGTACTTAGGGTATCTGACTTCCCGCCCATACCCCCCATCCACAACTCCCATCATTCCCTGCATCCTAACTCTGCCCTCCCCTCCCACTGCCCCACCTATTACTGGCTCTTAATATACATGTCCCGAGCCTCTCCACAGCAACGTTCCCCTGCAAAGAAACGCACTGATTTGGCGAAGCGGGGGGAGTGCGGACTCACAAGCTGCAGTAACCTGTAAACGTGTAGTGGTACACCCATCAGGGTGCGGGTTCGAATCCCACCGAAGCAAAATCCTGCTCGAGGAGTTTTCGTAGCCGAATACCTCCCCGCTAATTAAGGCGGACGGTTAGTCGGTGAGCCTTTTGACTTCTTCGTCTTCTACACTTGTAGTCTTCTCACCAGGTACTCTATAACAACCCATCCTGCTCCCGTGGAGGCAGGTAAGAGGGCGGGAATGTCTGTTGGCTTCTATGCGTTGAAGGGACATATACATCTACTATATGTGTATTCTTAATAGTAGTAGTCTACGGCTGCATTTCCATCATTCTGACCGACCACGTCACATTCAGCCTTTGTAGGTCCTGGTAAGCGCCCAATCATAGCTGCATTGCCCTGGCCCCAAACCTCTTACTCGCCTGACAGCTTTGCCGTCTCAAGGTCTTCCAGCACCGCCCCCAATATTAGCTACGGTTCGGGCCGCTTAGGCGGGAAGTGCCAACAACCATCGCATGTGACAACCTGATAAGGCTAGACAAGCAGGTCCTGACCGGGTGGGTGACGCGGCCCCTGACCGCCGCGACTTTGTTGCCTATGGTAAATTGTATTCTGCCGTGGAACGTGCCACAACGTCAGACAGACCTGGAAAATGGGCATAAAAGCCCGGGGGCCATGGGGATTCTCCTACTGATCCGTTCAAGTGGTCAACTGCATCAGCCGAAATGTCGCTTGGTACTACTTTCGTACGTCTAACTCAACTAAAAATGCTGCGACACTTCTGCACTCTCTTTACCTTGATGTTTCTTCTCGGAAACGCCTATGCACAAGAGATTTCAAGCACAACAGCAATCTCTTCCGCCTGCGGGGTTGCGGGTTATTTTGCATGTCCCGTGGACTTGGGCCCGGGGTGTTGCCCAACTGGTTTCATCTGCGGCGGAGATCAGGTCTGCTTGACCGCCTCAGCAATCGATTTAACTACAGCTTCTTCCTTGACATGTATCGGTCGCCACGGATACCATTCATGCCCACAATCACAGGGAGGTTAGTGGTCACACTTCTCTTCAGCGGCACGGGCGAGCACCAGGCGACCTAACAAGTCGTCGATAGGCGATTGTTGCCCGAACGGCTATATGTGCGCAACGGCAACGGACGCACCGTGTCGTCTGACGCTCAGGCTGGACTTCGTCACTGAAACAATAACGAGCACCGTCGGGTCAATGGTGAGCGTATGGACAACGACGAGCGCGATCGACCCCCCTTCAACCGCTGCAGACCGTGTACCCGAAATCTCCAGTTCTGACAGTAGTTTAACTGCGTCACAAATTGGGGGTATCATCGGCGGTGTTCTAGGCGCCGTCCTTGCGATAATAACCGTGGTTGTGCTCTTGATACGCCGCCGCCGAAAAGAACTGCTCGCCGCAGGCCACTCGGAAAGGGTGTTCCAAAAAGGGGAGTTGGACGGACAGGGGTGGCAGCGTGCAGAGCTACAGGAGATGGCTTCGGGAAATCACATCGTGCCCGCCGAGCTGGCCGGCGGTCATTCGCAGCATGAGCTTGTCGGAAGTTACGAAGCCCATGGAACATCGGAGCTGCATGGCTCTAGGCCCTATTATTCGCCATTGGGAACAAACACCTAGCTATGCGAAGGTACCTAGTGACTAGATAGCAACGGGATTCTACTGGTCAATGCCAAGTAACTGTGCCCGATGGACTTGACCCAGAAGAAAAGGTTTGGGCAAAAGGTGTACCAGGTTGAGCTGATTGACGATTCGGTGAAGAGGACAAGACGCCACTGTTTCAATGCTATTTACCTTACTCCGCAGAAGTGGACTCGCCCGTAAAAAGGAGGGGAAGTGAGGCTGAACACCCCTGAGGCAGCGCCTGCGGGCTGACGGCCCTGACCGAGGCGCAATCTATTCTCCAAGGGCCAAGGCAGATTTTCTTTACAGACTACACGGTGAGGGCACTGGTGCGTGCGGTCTCCTTCGGCAGGAGAAGAAAGCAACAAGGGAAAAAGGCCCAATGGCAGTTAGGAGTCTTTCTTCCTCATAGAGCGAGCTCCGCAGGTGGTTTTATCTAGGTAGGTAGGATGGCTGACACGCCTGACCCCTTGAAGGAGCTAAGGCATCGCCCACGGTCAGCCCCAGACAGCGAAATCATTGCCATTCGGGATGATGGGCAACGGTTTGACGATGGCCCTACATTCGGCCCCCAACGGCCTATCTAGGAAGCAACATGGATGAAGGCCCGCTCCCCGATCTTAGCCATCTTCACGGCTTGGTACCGCCCCCGTCACGGCATATATCAGAGTTGACTCGCCGTTGGGCTCTTTCCAATAATCGTCGACCAGATTCCGTTGGCGTTAGCTACCTACTCCCACGGCTCGCCACGGCCCCTCCCAAAACGCCCACCAGCTATGGCTCGCCGCTCGACTGAAGAACTGCTGCCACATTCCGTTGAGGCTCCGGTTTCCAGCGCTGCCCAAACCGCAATGGTAGCATCGGAGGATTCGGACAACCCCGACTTCAAGTTCCACACAATGAGATGTCAAACCCTCCGTTCCTATGTATTCTCCCTTGGAAGGGGTAAATACTGACAAGCCCAACCGATAGATAGCGCAATCGGTAGAAACCCAAATGATTTCACCTTAAAAAACGGCTACAATCTTCGCCCAGGCATGTACTATCGCCATACCGAGCTCCTGACTGTCTTCGCGTCAGAACTTTTAGGGCAAGGATGCCCGTTCGTGGCAAAAGGTTGTAGTTTGCATTATCATGGGTGGTATAGAGCACTGTGATACACAAGTTCTCGACATGCTGGCCACCATCGGGTTATATCGAGAAGATCTACTTCTGCATATGGATTATGAAGGCAAGGGTACCACAGCCCACCTGGTAAGTCGTGGGCCAGACCGGAAAAGCCACGCACCACCGTATCTCCTGCTAATCGCCCACGTAGTTCGAGTACACCACCCACCTGTCAGTCACGACTACGGATGGTCGATGCCATAATATGCCACCAGTGTAGGCCATGCTCTGTATCAAGGCCCTGAAGCACGGGAAGCTGAACTCCTACCGATGGGCATACAACGCCTTTGGCCGGATACTTAATTAAACCCTGAAATTATCATACACGTCGATGCGGGCACAGAGGTGGACAGCCAAAGTATCTTCAAGCTTTGGAACGCATTCGACACGGATCAAAATTTGGGCGGCGCGTGCGGTCAGCTCCGTTGCTGCGTTGAAGGCTGGAAGCGTTACCTGAACCCCCATTGTTGCGGCGCAGTATTTCGAATACAAGGTGCCATTCCGACTTAAAGAGCGCTTGGGAGTACAACCGGTTATCTCTCTGTCCTCCCAGGAGCTTTCAGCGCATTCAGGTACGAGATCCCATTGTCGACGGGCCTGCCATCGCTGGCTTTGTCCACAATCTAGCATAAATTATGGGATTGGACTAACGGGGAGCAGATTCCGATCATCCATGGGCAAGCCACTCGAACTATTTTGGAAGCGCGATCCAACCCATTGGCGTGAAGTCGGCGGGAGAGGCATTCTCAACTCCGTGCTTAAGCTCAACCGATACCTCGCCGATGACAGAGTCGTTTGCTTTGACCTTGTCCTCAAGACCGGCTTGAAATGGTGTACTTCATATGTTGATGGCGCCACCGCAACGACAGACATACCTACAAACACGGTCGACTGGATGAACCAGAGAAGAAGATGGTTGAACGGCGCATTTGCTTCGTCACTCTACAGCTTAGAGCTGCTGTTTCGAGTATTCGAGACCGGCCACAATCCGGTCCGGATTCTGCTTTTGCTGATTCAGATGGTTCAAGACGTCGTCACTTTCATTGTCGCTTTGGTTTTCCGTCGCTGGGTATCTCCTCAGTCTCTTCATTATCAACGACATTACCGGCAACCCCCCGGACAATTCTCCTTCGCAGGGGTTCCCCTTCGGGTCAGCCACCCCAATCATCAACGCAATCCTTCAGATTATCTATCTCTTTGCCCTGGTCTACCAGTTTATCATGGCCCTGGGAAGCCGTCCAAAGACGAGCGTGGTTTCTTACATCGCCTCATTCTTTTTCTTCGGATTCATCCAGTGCTACTTTCTCATGAACCTTATATACCTGACCAAGAGATTGGTGAACTCCAAAGTTGACCCCAACGGTGGCGGCCGATACGCTTATATTAACGAGTACTACACCGACGTAAGGTGGCTGACGGTGCTCATCACGGCGGTAGCATATTTCGTCGTCTACATCGGCGCGGCCATCGTCTCACTGGACCCGTGGCACCTGTTTACCTGCTGGGCGCAGTTCATGTTCATCTCTACCTCTTACACCAATATTCTGAGCATCTATGCCCTGTGCAACTTCAACGACACAACCTGGGGCCGCAAGGCGCAAGGGCTCCCAGAACAGTCCAAAGTCGCGGAAATCCACCAAACATGAACCGACTGAGTTCTAGCCAAACGGAGAAATCCGCGTCAGACGCGACTTCAAGCCCAGAACTCAACCCAAACACAGACTCCGCTCACACTTCGACACGGTAACCCAACAAACCCCAGGAAGAGCAACCCGCTCGCGTCGAGCCGGATACGGACTCGGAAGACTCAAGGTTCCGAATCCATCTCGTGGCATGCTACATCTTTTCCAATGTGTAGTCTGCATCCTTGTCCTCAACGAGTCCCTGCAATTGTTTACGTTTTTGGGCGACCCGTACTGGCACAAGATTTGGTTCTACATGATCTGGATGTGGGCGAACTCGGGCCTGCTTATGCTGCGGTTTGTGGGCTGTGTTGTCTATTATGGGAGGACATGGACGTTGCTGACGTTGGAGGGTGTGAGGACATGGGTCTGGAGGTGTCTGTCGTGGAGACCTGAAAGAGGAAGCGTTTAGATCTTGGTGCCGGGTGGGTGGTACCCGGACAGTTCTTCATCCCTCGACTATAGCCGGGGATCCCCAACACAACTAAACTCGCCTACGACTTTGTACACCAGGATTATTTGAAGCGGTTCTACCGCCTGCTGGATCTTGTGCCGCCCCGCGCTTGAGAGTTGGGCAGACATGGATTGGCTCGCCCACCGTTACGTCAACTGGAAGTGTAACCATGGGCGAGAGGCAAGGTGATTATGGAGGACCCAGCCCACCGGGCCTTGATCACGACGGAGCTTGACGAGGGCAGGACTTGCAAGGCCGCGTTAGGGAGACTGACGAAGGGGGACTAGGGACGACAAAACACCACCTCCTAATTACCCACATAGGGGATCCTGAATCTTTCCTCGCCATCATCCCGCGTTTCGTACCTCCCGCCCTCCGAGGTATCATTTAATCACTTGGACCGGGTTAACAATCTTGCGGATGGGAACCCCGTACTTCTTTAGGGAATGTTCTTTACCTAGTCTAACAATAGGGGTAGGATGAGATAATGAGTACTGTAATCACATCAGCTCCATGTCCTCGAACCTTTTCAACTCCTCCTCGACATTCGAGTAATCCTCTTCCAGACGCTCGAGTGCCATCCTAAAAACATGAACAGTATCTTGATGACTGAGGGAGCTCGATTTCTTGCCCCGAGCATCGTTTGCAGCCTTTGCTCTAGCTGAAACAAATGTTTGGTCGTCGCCGTCCATCGAATCGAGTATGGCTTGTATAGAGGTCTGGTCCCTTTGGATCTTCGCTTTTGGCCTCTCCTTGATTTGTTTCAGCATCTCCAGCCGCTTGATGCGAGCATTGGTGATTTTGGTTGACATCTGCTCCTCGACCCCTTTCAACTCCTCCTCAACTTTTGAGAGTTGCTCTTCCAGGCTTTCAACTGCAATGTTCGGAGTGTTGACAGTGCCCCGACCGCTGAGGGAGCCTGATACCCTGCCCCGAGCTCATTTGCAGCATTTCCTGGAGCTGAAACAAGCGCTCGGTCATCGTCGTTCATCAAATCGAGTATGGCTTGCATAGCGTCCTGCTGGTTTCGGATCTCCTCCCTTAGTTCTTCCTTGCGTTGTTGTAATCTCTCCCGCTCCTTGATGCGAGTATTGGTTGTTTTGTTTGGCATCTTGCGATATTCGTTGGTCCCAAAATCTCTACGGCGGCTCGGTTGGCATTTCCTCGGCCTTACCTTGACGTTGTGCAATAGATATTCCACTTTAATGTCCAGCTGACGGTTAGGGATCGTGGGCTTTGTTAAAGATTTGCTGTGCTGCTCGAAGCTTTGATGTCATGGGCGTTAATACAAGTGGGAGGGAAACCATTCCACGTCTTCGTTTTGGAGGTGTATTGTTTTGGCGTCTAATGCAGTGTGAAAGCCGCAACTAACCAAGGATGGCAACCCAGACCGTGACATGTTTGAAGGGTGACTTCCCCAATTTCGCACCTCATCCGGCAATCAGCTAGGGCGTCCCGTCCTTCTGGAAGGACGTATGGCCAAGCTAAGCAATTTGATCAAACAACCCAGGCAAAGCCTGCCTAACCCCAGATAAAGAAGGCACCAAGGTTGCGGCCAAAAGCCTTGTTTCCCCGTTTCCTGTCTCTGGGATGATCAAGATTATAATTCGCAAGTGCACCTCCGGTGAGGACGATCCAAACAGTTGGTCAGGATGAGCAAGAGCAGAGGGTGTGGACAAGGTCATGAATACGCAGCTGGTGAATGTTGGCAGCGTGGATAGAGAAAGGTTTGGGGCCGAGGTTAAGGGGTAAGGAGGTAGCCAGCTCAACGGAGCTGTATCAAGCAGCAAGTTGTGTACATCTACATCGAATGACAGGCAAGGTGTCTTGGATACTGAAATATCCGCCGCTTACCTCCTTAGCCGCATGTTCCTTCAGTTGTCTGGCCCAGGGGCCCACACAAGTGACAAAACAAATATCCTACCAGTCCAAGAAGTAAGCAATGCCATCCATCAGCGCACTCCCCCCAGAATTCGCATGCTCCTGCCCTGCATACTCCTTCAACACCACATCCCTCAAACTCCCGCTCCCCACCAACCGATCATACAACTCATGGCTCCACTTCCCCGGCGAAAAGCTCTGCAGCAACTCCCTCCTCGCCTGAAATTCCCCCTCCGTCTGCGTCCTCCTCCTCACCGGATAATCCTCCCCCTCCCCATAGCCCATAAACACCGCCGGCCTCGTCCCATTCCCACTCCAGACCACCTCCCCCTCCCCGCCCATCCCATCCCCCAACCGCCGCGCCACCTCCCCAAGCACCTCACCACCCCCCAACGTCAACGACGGGCTCGCCGCAATCCACGTATCAAACACCTCGGGCCTCGTGACCAACGCCCACGCCACAAACAACCCCCCGCTCGAATGCCCAAACAGCGCATCCCGCCCAAACTCCACCCCGGGAAACACCGCCCCACGCACCCATGGCCGCAGGTGCGCATCCACAAACTCCAACAACGCCTCCCTGCCGTTGGGCACGACCGGCTCGCCGGGGATGGGCGCGCCGAAGTCGACGGCGCGCTGCGTCATGGCGTAGACGCTGTCGGTGAGCGGGTAGCCGATGCCGACGACGAGGGCGTCGGGCTGGGAGGCGTCGACCGGTTTGCGCCGCTTGATGAATTCGGCGGCGGTGGAGGCGAAGGCGTTGCCGTCGAGAATGTAGATGGTCTGCGCGGTGCGGTTGGTGGTGGTGATGGCGGTGGTGTGGGAGGGTGGGGACCCCCATTCGAAGGGGTAGGAGAGGGAGATTTGGTAGGTCAGGTTGGAGGAGGTGGCGTTGTAGAAGGCGGTGTTGGGGAGGAGGGTGGGTGGGAGGGATGGGAGGGGGGTGAATGTCCATGTGGTTGAGGCCATGGTGATGGATTTAGCAAAGGGTAGAGGTGAAGACGATGTTAGTTTGGTTTAAAGACAATGTTTCCGGTTTATCAATGGTGCAAGAGTCGTGGTAAAGAGGCTAGGGATATCGTTACCTTTCCTCTCTATACCTAGCATGGGCTGAGCAAGATCTTTGCTCCCATGGGCAGTACTCCTCCGCCGCCTCTCGCGTTTGCTGGTTCCGGTGCGGGGTACTTCCCGCCTGCAGCGGTGTCAATATGTCGGCAAGTGTTAAACCGAGGGGTTGCTTATGATCCACGGATGATCGTGACTTTGACCCCTTGCAACGGAGTGAAAGCTCCCAATCGGAGACCCCTCTGCTGTGACCTTTCATCGTGTTGCACATAATCCATCCAGCGGTCAACGGCCTTGAATAGGTAAGAAAAATACTAGGGAAAGTTCACCGTTCAGTAAGGTACCTAGTTGTACGGTACCTGCCTGTGTTCCGCCGGGATACATACGCTTTACTTACAAGCATCAATCGAAAGGCGAAACATGCATGTGATACGGGGCTATGCTATGCGGTGTCCGCTTTAAAAAATACTGGACGGCGCAAATAGGATTGAGCGTTCCAGACATGTAGATAAAAAATTGGCACTGTCTTCTCGGCGTTAAACCGTCAAACTGTAACATAACAATTTGAAATGGGGATTAACAATCGCAGATAATAATGATCATTTTCCAAAGTAGTAGGTGGTGATGATTTACTAACTAACAGATCAAACAACAAGCACATCTTCGCCCTCACCCCCCTCAGGCTCCTTACCTCCCTCCCTATCACCCTCCTCAACCTCACTCTCATCCCCGTCCGTCCCATCGCCACTCTCCCGCTCCTCATCCCCAGTCCCCCCCTCACCCTCCTCCTCCTCCTCCCCTCTCACGCGCCTCACCATCGTCACGCCGTCCCTCTCCTCCAGCTCCGCCACCACCTCTGGCCGGCCCTTCGCCGGCCTGGCCATCAGCAGCTCGACGCGCGCCGCAAGCAGCTTGTTGCACACCTCCTCCTTCTTCCACCCGTGCATATTGTCGTGGGACGCCGCCAGCCCCAATTCCACGGCCCAGCGCTTGAGCCGCAGGATGCGGACCTTGAAGAGCAGGGACTTGGTGGCGGGCCGGAAGAATCGGCTGGGTGGGGGGGATTGGGGTTGGCGGGGGGGTGGTGCGAGGGGGGGTTGGGGGTGTTGGTTGGCGGGGGATGTTGCTGCTGCTGCGGCTGTTGCTGGTGATGGCTGTTTAGCGGGAGGACTGGGGGCGGGTTGGGTTGGGGGTTCTGGTTTGGGCTGGGGTTGGGGTTCCGGTTTGGGCTGGTTGGCGGCCTGGAGGCGGGAGAGGGCGTCTCGGCTGCTTTCTGCTAGGGAGTAGTAATACGAGGCAGGGCTTGCCGGGTGATGTGTGTGATAGGGGCGAAGAGACCTGGGTGATGTGATGGCTGGGTTTGGGTCAGTCTGTCCGGTGATGGCGGTGGTGCGGGTCCTAGCATTCTTCGGAGTCTCTTGGTCGGTGTCAAGAGTTCTGCTGGGTCCATGTCTGTGGCTGGCCGTTTGCCTTTGGCCTCGCTTGGAGGAGACATGCTTGGAGTAGGCATGCTTGGAGTAGGCATGCTTGAAGCAGGCACGGTAGAGGGGGATGACTTGCCAGGGAGTGGGTGGCGTCCAGATGGGGTCACTTTCGTGCTGCTGGTCAAGTCAATATACCGCTGTATGACGCGAATGGCTTGCCGGGCGGCCAGCGCGTCGGCCTGTGTGGGAAAGTCCCGGGGCAAGTCCCCGGATGTCTCGGAGGCAATGAGGGAGGCGACCTCCCGAACAACCCTGGGTGACTTCAACAACTCGGGGTTCGTGATAAAGGGGCTGCGAAGGAGATCGTCCGGCTTTTCCATGTTTTCCGCCAGAGCCGCATTGATACGCAGTTCGGATAACGGTCGAGACCGCGGCTTGGTTTGGGCTTGTGGTTGCGGCTGAGGCTCGTTAACACCAGGCACATATCCTGCTGCCCGAGCCAGATGCGCCGCATCGTGTCTCGGTAGTGCCAGCGGCGACGGTGCGACCTTGGCCTGCCCCCGCCAGTGATGCCTCGGGCCATCTCCGATACGGCGGGTATGGGGGCGAGTCACTAGCTGGTACCGCTTCGTATTCTGTAGCGTCAAACGGGGCAGCTTGAACTCATGGGCGTAGAAATCGTTAGGGACCATCGGTTGAAAGTGGTTTTCGTGCTGCAAGAAATCCAGGTTAGCATAATGGTCTGCCATGGGGCTGGGGGAATAACTTACTGCGTAACACAAGAAAATGTGCCGGTTGTTGTACGCGCCGTACGTCTTCATGTCGTAGACCTTGTTTGCCCACGGGGACTGGGCGTTGCGGGCACTGAACTTGTACAGCACCAAGAACACGCCATAAACATCCGCCGTAAGCTGGCACATATCCTCACTCGTCCAGCATCCCGGTATGTGCAGCCTCTCCCACATATTGGCCTCGCCTCCCCATACGCCTTCCTTTCCAGCTGGGCCTGTTGCATAGGTCCTCATGTTATTTTGGTTCTCCCGCAAGTAAAACGCGTACCGAGGATGCTTGGGGTTCGATAAGACCTTCTCCAGGTAACTGAGATGCTCCGCCTTCACGCGAAGCCAGAAGCTCGCATTGCCGTAGATCAAAAGGGCGATAGCCAACCAGTAACATTGCCCGCTCGCTACGAGCTTTCCATGGGTTTTGGGTTCATGCCAGTAGTTTGGATGTTTTATGAACACCACGTCTTCGACCATAGGGAAGCCCTTGAAAAGGATTGGCCGCTTCTCGATCTTGTCGGCGCTCAGGTAGTGGCCTAGCCAGTCGCGCCCCTGAAACATCGTCTCCTGGTCCATGTGCTTGTATCCGGTCGTTAGGAAGTCGAATTTTGCCGCTTCAAGCTCCTTGGGAAATTCTTCCTCCAACGAGCGCTTGTGTCCCACGGTTTCCCTTATCTTGGAAATGTCCAGCCGCATTTTGGAGAGCGGACCTGGTAACTGCTGTTCCGCGGACTCACCGGCGTCGTCTGCCACGAGGATCTCAACCAAGGCCATTCTTGAGAGTACACGCAGAATGTATGGGGGAATCTCCTCAAGACTATCTTCCAAATTGGGGGCAGCGCCGCCGCGCATGTTGATACTCCCCGGATCCGTCGCCGGGATTGGCCTCGGGGGCTGGGCTTCGGACTGCCTCCTAGAGGGGTTCCCGGGCTGCTCCGCGCTCTGCACATTGCGGTCATACAGTGACAGCGGAACCAAAAGGCATGTTGCAGGGTTTATAAGCGGCTGCTCTCGTCGGATCGTTTCGAGTTCGCGGTAGTAAAGTTCGTTAGCCAGCAGCTCTTTCGCTTCTTCGCTGGCTTGGTCAAAGAACATCTTCGCGGCCGCAACATCCATGTTGACTCAGGGTGTTCCTGATGCCTTGTTGTTGTTGAGCACGTATCAGGGTGTCACTTGTGGTCTTGCAGTTTCGTCTGCTTGCCACATGAATACTGTGGAGACGGCGAAGTCCCAGGCCGGGACCTACTTTAGCTTTTACATGGACTCTGAACACACAAAGAGTGCCAATCCAAGGGTCAGCCGGCATTTACCTGATCGCTTCTTAATCCGGTCATGTCGAGAACAAGGCGGCCGTACTTCAAGCGTGAATGGAAAGGAGGGAGAATATTTCTTTGTTCATATCCCACCCCGATGCAAACAGATAACATAGAGAAGCAACAGTTACGGAGGAGAATGGGAACAAAGGGCACACGGTTTTATCTCAACACCACCCGTTAGGGGAACGAGAAAAGGATCGCGAGGTGACCAACTCAGGTAAGATTGTTCCAGTTGACTAAAGGCATCCGTAGCAGCAGCCTAAGCCCGTCAAATAACGGTCGACTACATAATTCCAAAAGCCATCAGTCAGGTCCGAATACCCCCCAACCCAAGCCAAGATCGAGCCCCTTGAAGAAGTAATCCGCCATCCAACCACCCCAACCGCCCGCCCTCCCCCAAAGTCCCTCCCCGCGCCTCAAACTAACCACCATCCCCTCTATCCTCCATCTCCACCCCTTCTCAACCTCACCACACCCCTACACCCCCAACTCAAAACCCTCCTTCCCTCGGTAGGTAACCGTTAACTCAAGAGAAGCAAGTACACTTGCAAGTGCTCCAACCAATGACACAGTTCGAGCCCGTGATATCGGAGTCGACGTCCTTGCACTTGTAGCCCTTCTGCTTGGCCTCGCCGATGCACTGGGCGTTGCAGCGGCCGCCCCAGTCGGTCTTGCAGCCGCCGTTGGCCGTCCACTTCTTGGTGGCCAGGACGGACACGTCGCCTGCCTCGGCAGGCTCGGCGGCGGGGGCAGGGGCCGCGGCCGCGGCGGTGATGAGGGCGGTGAGGAGGAGCGTGAATTTCATGTTGGGTGGTTTGGTGGTGGTGGTTGGTTTGGTTTTTTCGGTGTGTGTTGTTGGTGTGTGGGCTGTATGTGTGTGTGTGTGTGAGGTTTGGAGGCTGGGAGTGATGGTGGATGGTGAATATCGATCGGTCAACTCGAGGAAGAGGTGCCTTTTATGCTTTTCTGGTTCTCCCTCTTTGCTTTCTCAAGAGGTAAGCTCGTCGTCCTTTTCGTCCGTCAGCCCCTGGCCGTCTTCCTTGCCTCTCATCTTGCTCAGTTCTACGTGAGCCAGTCGTTCTCCTTGGAGTTCTGAATTAGAACTGCACGTTACAACAACGGTTGAATGCTGACCCGGCGGAGGTTGGAGATGTTGCACGTAGATGGGGCCTGGGATGGCGATGAATGGGTGATGGTGTTGGCTGAGGACCAAGCCTCGCCCCGTTGCAACGGCGCAGAACGGTCAGCAACCACTGACAACCTATGCGAGATACGGACAAGTGAGGTTGAGCAACCAACGGCTGATGGGCCACTTGCTCGGCATTGGTATGCTACGTCACACTCGATTTGTTGGCGAGTCACAATAGCGGAGTGGGCGCTGATCATATTGGACCGCCTTCTCAAATAGGGAGGCAAGTCCGAGGACTGTGGGGAATGGTCGAGATCTTAAATCCTTCAACGGGCTCTTTTGTCGTGTAGTCTTACTTTTTCTCTGTCCTAATGTCATCAAATCCGGGGAACGGAAGGTTATTTCATACATGAACAGGACTTGGAACTGCTGATGCTCGGTATAAATGCTGCGTTCAGGGGTATAACTCTCCACTACGGGGTCCGCGGACACTCGCTCGCGTGACAAGCTTCCCGAATAGGCGGTGTTGCCTGCCACAGGTACCGATTTGCGATGCCGGACTTTCTATCAATGAAAGGAAGGGCGCCAAATTGTCAAAGAACCCCCCGGTGTTAGCAAAAGGGGAAACCCAAAAGCGGCATTCCTTGGAGCCACTCGCTGGCGGGATAAATCCCCCAAAAAAAAAGGTAACCCCCGTTGGGGTAGTATTGTGTACAAGAGAGGCTCAAGTGGGTCAAGGCTGTCCTGGAACTCCAGTCTATCTCGATCATCTCTTCTCCTGGATGAATGAAGACATGCGATGCAGGCCGCCCGCTCCCTAGCCCAAAACCCAGCAATAACCAAGAAAGCTTTACTCGGTGTCTCCTTGAGAAACATGTTGGTTCACCGAGAAGTACTTGTTAAGCTAGCTCATCAGACTGTCCCACCGAGCAGATCATTCAGTCAGCTTAGCCCACGCCAGGAATAGTTGGTAAGAGTGGGCCGTCTGACCAGTGACAACGGCAGCTTCGTCAGGAAGGTCGTCAAGATCCTGACAAAGGCATCTTATGTCGATCATACCGTAATAAACCAGCAGAATCGGAGCCTCGAAGGCCGAAAAGAGAACGCATGACAACGCGACGAAAGAGAAGGCTGGAGATGACGCGTGGGGAAACAATGTAGAGGGAAGAAAACAAGATTGGTATCATTTTGCAAACTGCTCATCTATAAAACCAGAGCCCCTCATAAAGCCCATCACTCCTCCACATTAGGCATTGCCAGAACATCTGCAGACTCACTCCCTCAATATCCCAAGACATAGTCATGAAAAGACACTAGGTAGGTTATAAGAAAAAGGGAGGCAAACAAAACCTCGCCTAGGGATGCGACGGTGGCTGCTGCTGCTGCTGGACCGGTGGCTGGGTCTGCGAAGGCCCATGGCCCGGTGGCGGCGTCGGCTGTCCTGAAGGGACTTCGGTGGTGCCTGTCTGGGCCGGTGAGGGTGCGGGCATATAAGGTTGCTGCATGGCTTGCTGCTGCGGCTGTCGTTGCCCGTCACCCATCTGTGGCGCTGGTGCAAACCCTGGCTGCTGCCCCTGCATTGGCGCCTGTCCTTGGGGGAAGGGGAAATTGAAACCCGGTTGCACGGGATACGGCTGCCCGGGGTACGGCTGCATGTATGGTTGCCCAGGGGCAGGTTGCATGTATGGTTGTCCTGGAACAGGCTGCATGTATGGCTGTCCCGGGTAGGGTTGCTGCCCAGGCTGCATCATGTAAATGGGTTGTTGCTGCGCAGTGGCTTGCGGCTTCTCAGAACCATCTCCCGGCTGGCCAGGAGGGAACTGACCTGGCGGCGGCGCCGCAACAATGACAGGGTTGTTCCCATCCGGGTTCCCGAGCAACTCGACGGGGTACCTCCAGCGGAAGCCATACTTGAACCAGTATTTGATCCTGGTGCCGGCGCTCAGGGTGTCCCAGTACTGCTTCAGAAGGGCCTGGTCCTCGGGGCTGCGGGCCCTGGACTTGCGCGTGAGCAGGATGAACCACAACGACATGACACACCAGCAGATGGTGCCCAGGCGCAGGGCGCTCCGGCCCAGCATCATGCGCCGGAACCAGCAGTACGACTCAATGAAGCCAATCAGGAAGATGGTCGGGAAGAGCACCGCGATCACGATGACCCACGTCGCCAGCACCACGCACCCCGTGTACGCCGAGCACACGTTCCAGTCCCAGTCGTCGTCGGCCCCGCCCCGAGAGCCCCCGCCGCCGCTGCCACCGCCCCTCGCGGTGGCGGTCGGCCCGTAGTACGCGGGACCGGTCGCCGTGGGGTTGCGACAGTTCTCAACAAAGTATGAGTAGTAGTAGTTGGTTGTCGGAGCGCCCGTGGGGCGTGAGGACGGGGGAAGAATGCTTGCGTCGATGAATTTGGTTACCCAGGTTACCGTTTCGGTTTCCCGGGTGTTTGTCCATACTGAGGTCGCGGTCGAGACAGCCGTCACGTACGGCCTGATATCATACGGCAGGTAAACGGGGGAGTGGGTGGTGACGGTAAAGGGCGTGGGGCAGGACGAGGGAGCCGTCCAAACCACGGTGACCGCGTAGTCGGTGAAGACATTAGCAACGCGAGTGGACGATGTGAAAACGTCCCCGGCGTCGACTGCGTCCGGCCCGACGAAGACGCTGACGATCTCGAGGTCATCGTAGGTGTAAGTTCTGGTGGTCGTGGAGATGGGATCCGCAGTGGGTGTGATAGTCGGGTCAACAGTGAGAGTTCTCGTGGCGGTATAGTACCGGCAGTCTTCGACGCATGTCGAGTATAGCTTTGACGAGGTCTCAGTGAGCACAAAGTACGAAGTGACTGTGTAAAAGGAAGCGAAGGCGGGTTGAAGATGCAAAAGGAACGCGGCGAAGAAGGCCAGGCGGGCCATGATCGACGCCGTTCCTGTCATGTTTGTGATGCTTCACGACGAGCCAGATGGTGTTGCGGCGTCGTCCACAGAACCATCAGAGGCTGAGAGCGGGTGGGTGGCAACCCCATCTTGTATGTCTTAAATTTCGGATCGCAGCGCGACCGCGTTGAGCGGCATGTTGCTATTCTGAGCTAGCCTCACTCTCAAGGTGTGATCGCGTGCATGGCAGGCTTGGCTCAACCTGATCTACACTAACAAGTTACAGAGCGGCAGACAACAAAAACCTGCTAGTGAGGGGCTCTCAGCCCCTTGCTCATCACAATGTGCCCTGTCCCTGTCTAAGGTTGTCTTGGGCTGGTGCCAAGTGCTCGGTCCCCAATCAGCAGCCGCACTGCCACAGATTGGAAGAACCAAGACCGTAAGGGCGGCGCAACTCTCCGCCGTGTGACTGGATCTCGAGTTTGAAGATACTGGCTTGGCTGTTTGTTTGGTACTTTTGTCGGCGAGACAATCGTCCGTTTGCGTCACTGCCGCCAGTTGGAGGGTTTAAGTTTCCTGAGGCAGTCCGAAAGCCACGGCATTGTTCGTGTTGCGGAGGGCCGAGAAATCTCGCCCCATGGGGGAGGACGAAGACGACCGCTGGTTTGACCAGAGCCGCAAGCCCCACACCATTCCAGTCAAAGCCCAGGTTCCACGTGCTTCGGTGCGAGTGTCAGCACTCTCGTGGAATCTCGCGGGGGATCGTCGCTTTTCTTTCCTCGTCAAGACCTCCTCCACCTCGGTCACCCTCGCGCATTTTTGCGCCAGGGCCAGGAGGCTAAGGGCTCCTTCGCTAGCACAAGATGCGAATTTCGGGTTGGGGTTAAAAATGCGCCTGAGGCGGAGAGAATGGCGTGATGATCACGTTAACCTTATTTATGCTTGTAGTGGACACCCCTAGCGCCGCCGGGTACTCCCCCCGTGTGGCTTAAGGGGAGTGGAAAGCAAAAAGGGGCTGACCCCAAGCCTTTCCGAACAACATGCGACATGGTATGGTCGCCCACACTCCCACTGAGGGCGTTGTAAGTAGGTGATCAAGTAATGGGTAGCTTAACATAGTAGGCCCATTGATACGGACGGATACGACCTTGATGGGTTGCTGCTGGCCCGCTCATTCAGGTACCCATACAAGTAGTACCACAGCATAGTAGAAATCATTTAACCCTCTCAGTTGCGAATGACTCGGAAGTTACTACCGTCAATAACCTAGCTAGTAACTTAGTAGTAGTAGTAAGTAGGTAGTAGGTTGAACCAAACTTGTATTGTTCCAGTCTTGTTCGCAAGTTGTTTAAAACCCGGTTAACTACACTAACGAGCATCAGCAAGCCCATACAGTCAGGCATTGTTCACAGCCCAGGATAACTAACCGGTATCACTCATTGTCAGCATCGTGTTGTTTGATAATAAATATTAAATTATGTCGTAGACTATCTGTGTAGCTCGTTAGTCGTCATCATAAAAATGCTTAGTGACAAACACATCGCGTAAAAACCAAACGGCTGGTGCCCAGCCAGCAGTAGAGCTGCTTATCCCAGCTCAGGGCCCGTTCTGTCTCTATCCTAGATCCAAAACGTAAATCAGCTCCCCTCGGGGAACTTGCAGGGATGACTAGTAGTACCTATGCATTATACCATCATCCCCCGCGCCGCCCTACATGAAGTAGTCGTCCTCATCACCAAACTCCACACCCCACCCCGGCTGGCGCTCCTCGATCACCGACAGGTACTTCAGCGTGTACACCAGCGGGTAGACCCACAGCCACGGCTGGCGGCCGTCGTCGCCCTCCCAGTCTTCCCTCACCAACGGGCACAAGCTGCCCTCATCCCTCTTCGCGTCCCAGCACTTGGCGTACACCTGGGCGACGAACCAGGCAACGTGGCAGTTGAAGGCCCAACTGCGCTTGTCGCCGGCCGCCCGCTGCAGCTTCTTGAACAGGTCCTCGTCCTCGAGCAGCCGCGTCACCGCCGAAATGGATAGAAACGCCCGGCGGTGGTACACGCGCTGCTCGACCCGCCCCGTGACGGGGCTGGAGAACTTGCATCTAGTGGTAAGCGGCGGAAACTGCTGGAGGCAGTCCCGCCGGAATTCTTGCCACCAGGGAAACACCTCGTCTGACTTGAGCCAGTTAGTGACGTCTTCAATGGAGTTAAATCCGCACTCGTGCTTGATCTTGTTCAAGAAAGGCCTGATGTTGTGGTTGATCGTGAACCGGGATCTGTTCGCAGGGTTGCGTATCCTGGAAGAGATGCGGTTGCGATGCCTGGCAATGACGAGGGGCCTGTGCATGGTAGCTTCCATGCTGGTTGACGGTGTTCGTGGTCGTGCTGGGAGCGTGGGTGGGGTGTGGTTTGGTGAGACTGGTTGGGTAGGTACCTAGATTTGTTAGTTAACCAACAATCGTGTCTGGGGAGACATCCTCATCCTGATAGGGGTTTTAGAGGTTTTAAACGGGAGGAAATGTGAGTAGCCATTTGAGCATCCTAAGCCGTGGTTTCATGGACGATGTACTTGTTTCGAAGCTACCGGCTTTAGTTCAGGAACAACCACGGTATACGCATATGCACTAATAATAGTCGTAATCGTCAACTCGTTGTTCCAGTTATTAGTGTCTTCATTATTCTGGAATTTTGTTACCCTTGTCAATGAACAGCTCAAGACTCCAACATATCAGATAATCAGTCCCATCAAGATGGGACGAACCGATCTAATGATCCTGTATGGTAGAGGTAATCGCGTTCGAAAAATCTGTCAATTATGACGATTGGAGAGAAGTCTTATGAATAATCTTAGCCTTTGTCCTATACTTACTTCTCTATCTTACCTTGATCTTTTCGGCCCATAGGCACCTAGGCAACTGTCAAAGTGAGCATCGGGCGCTGCTCCTGATCCATAACGTGGAGTAACGCCAACAGAAATAAGCATTACATGAATCTGGGCTTTGTTGTTTTAGCTACTAATCCACTAGCAAATAATATCATACGCCAAACGCCCCGGACTCATACGATAGGTGTGGATGGCAAGCAATGTCGAGGCTAGAAAATCTTCAACCATAAATGCGTTAGTTATTAGGTTGTTAGTAAGCGCCATCCTCAAATTTGTGTTCCATCATCCGGAGTTAAAACGGCTACGGTAGCTGAAGCGGTGCATATTATCCCGAATACCCGTTGCTGGCGCCATCCTAACGGCATGCTACTCGACATGAGCCATTTTAGCTTGTACACTAAAGCGACCAGCTCCTCTGCTTTCTTGTACATACAAGCCCTCCCTGGATGAAACAATAAAAATAGTTCGAACGCATTTCGTTATCCAGTTACCATCACCATGTCAGTCCACGCCCTTGCACTCTCTGCCTTCCCACGAGTTCACCAAGACCACTGTCCCGCAACTCAACCTTCTCATCGGTTCTCGGTGGTCGAAGGCGACTGCCACCTAGGCGTAGTACGTTCCCACCCAATGTATTCATTTCATCATACTTTTGCATTTTA